TATTGAATAGGAGTGGTGAGAGAGGGCATCCTTGTCTAGTGCCAGATTTCAAAGGCAATGCTTCCAGTTTTTGCCCATTCAGTATGATATTGGCTGTTGGTTTGTCGTAAATAGCTTTTATTATTTTGAGATACGTTCCGTCAATACCTGTTTATTGAGGGTTTTTAGCATAAAGGGCATAAAGGGCTGTTGAATTTTGTTGAAGGTCTTCTCTGCATCAATTGAGATAATCATATGGTTTTTGTCTTTGGTTCTGTTTATGTGGTAAATTACGTTTTTAGACTTGCATATGTTGAACCAGCCTTGCATCCCCAGGATGAATCCTACTTGATCATGGTGGATAAGCTTTTAGATGTGCTGTTGCAATTGGCTTGCCAGTATTTTATTGAAGATTTTTGCATCTATGTTCATCATGGATATCGGCCTGAAGTTTTCTTTTCTTGTTGAGTCTCTGCCGGGTTTTGGTATCAGGATGATGTTGGTCTCATAAGATGATTTGTGAAGGATTCCCTCTTTTTGGATTATTTGGAATAGTTTTAGAAGGAATGGTACCAGCTCCTCTTTGTATGTCTGGTAGAATTTGGCTGTGAACCCGTCTGGACCTGGGCTTTTTTTGCATGGTAGGCTCTTAATTGCTGCCTCAACTTCAGACCTTGTTATTGGTCTATTCAGGGTTTCGACTTCTTCCTGGTTTAGGCTTGGGAGGAGGCAAGTGTCCAGTAATTTATCTGTTTCTTCCATGTTTACTAGTTTATGTGCATAGAGTTGTTTGTAATAATCTCTGATGATGGTTTGATTTTCTGTGGAATCTGTGGTGATAGCCCCTTTATCGTTTTTTATTGCATCAATTTGGTTATTCTCTCTTTTCTTATTTATTAATCTGGCTAGTGGTCTATTTTGTTGATCTTTTCAAAAAACCAGCTCCTGGATTTATTGATTTTTTGAAGGGTTTTTTGTGTCTCTATCTCCTTCAGTTCTGCTCTGATCTTTGTTACTTCTTGTCTTCTGCTAGGTTTTGAGTTTTTTTGATCTTGCTCCTCTAGCTCTTTCAATTTTGATGATAGGGTATCGATTTTAGATCTCTCCTTGCTTCTCATGTGGGCGCTTATTGCTATATATTTTTCCTAGAGACTGCTTTAAATATATCCCAGAGATTCTGGTATGTTGGTCTTCATTCTCGTTGGTTGCGAAGAACATCTTTATTTCTGCCTTCATTTCATTGTTTATCCAGTCAACATTCAATAGCCAGTTCAGTTTCCATGAAGCTGTGTGGTTCTGAGTTAGTTTTTGAATTCTGAGTTCTAACTTGATTGCACTGTGGTCTGAGAGATTGTTTGTTATGATTTCCGTTCTTTTGCATTTGCTGAGGACTGATTTACTTCCAATTATGTGGTCAGTTTTAGAGTAGGTGTGATGTGGTGCTGAGAATAATGTATATTCTATGGATTTGGGGTGGAGAGTTCTGTAAATGTCTATTAGATTTGCTTGGTCCAGGTCTGAGTTCAAGTCCTGGATATCCTTGTTGATTTTCTGTCTGGTTGATCTGTCTAATATTGACAATGGTGTGTTAAAGTCTCCCACTATTATTGTGTGGGAATCTAAGTCTCTTTGTAAGTCATTAAGAACTTGCCTTATGTATCTGGGTGCTCCTGTATTGGATGCGTATATATTTAGGATCATTAGCTCTTCTTGTTGCATTGATCCTTTTACCATTATGTAATGTCCTTCTTTGTCTCTTTTGATCTTTGTTGTTTTAAAGTCTATTTTATCAGAGATGAGAATTGCGACTCCTGCTTTTTTTTGCTCTCCATTTGCTTGGCAAATCTTCTTCCAACCCTTTATTTTGAGCCTTTGTGTATCCTTGCATGTGAGATGGGTTTCCTGGATACAGCACACCAATGGATTTTGGCTTTTTATCCAATTTGCCAGTCTGTGTCTTTTGATTGGGGCATTTAGTCCATTTATATTTAGGGTTAATATTGTTATGTGTGAATTTGATACTGCCATTTTGATGCTAGCTGGCTGTTTTGCCCGTTAGTTGATACAGATTCTTCATTGTCTTGATGCTCTTTACCATTTGGTATGTTTTTGGAGTGGCTAGTACTGGTTGTTCCTTTCTATGTGTAGAGCCTCTTTCAGGATCTGTTGTAAAGCAGGCCTGCTGGTGATGAAATCTGAGTACTTGCTTGTTTGCAAAGGATTTTATTTTCCCTTCACTTATGAAGCTTAGTTTGGCTGGATATGAAATTCTGGGTTGAAAGTTCTTTTCTCTAAGGATGTTGAATATTGGCTCCCACTCTCTTCTGGCTTGTAGGGTTTCTTCTGAGAGATCTGCTGTGAGTCTGATAGGCTTCTCTTTATGGGTAACCTGACCTTTCTCTCTGGCTGCCCTCAGTATTTTCTCCTTCATTTCAACCCTGGTGAATCTGGCGATTATGTGCCTTGAGGTTGGTCTTCTTGAGGAATATCTTTGTGGTGGTCTGTGTATTACCTGGAGTTGAATATTGTCCTGCCTTGCTAGGTTGGGAAAGTTTTCCTGAATAATATCCTGAAGCGTGTTTTCCAGCTTGGATTGATTCTCTTCGTCACATTCAGGTACACCTATCAAGCATAGATTAGGTCTTTTCACATAGTCCCATATTTCTTGGAGACTTTGCTTGATCCTTTTTATCCTTTCTTCTCTAATCTTGTCTTCTCATTTTATTTCATTAAGTTGGTCTTCGACTTCTGATATCTTTTCTTCTGCTTGATCGATTCGGCTGTTAAAACTTGTAGATAGTTCACAAAGAAGTTCTCGTGTTGTGTTTCTCAGCTCCATTAATTCATTTATATTCCTCTCTAAATTGTGTATTCTTGTTAACATTCCATCAAACCTTTTTTCAAAGTTCTTAGTTTCTATGCATTGGGTTAGAACAAGTTCTTTTAATTCACAGAAGTTTCTTATCATCCACCTTTTGAAGCCTGCTTCTGTTAATGGAACACACTCGTTCTCCATCAGGCCTTGTTCCATTGCTGATGAGGAACTGTGATCCCCTGTAGAGGGAGAGGCATTCTGATTTTGGGTATTCTCAGCCTTTTTAGGCTGTTTTCTTCCCTTCTTTATAGATTTATCCATCTGTGGTCTTTATAATTATTGTCTTTATAATTGGGTTTCTGAGTGGACGTCCAACTTGTTGATTCCCAGCGCTAAAATCTGAGCAACCCACTGCGCTGGCCAAAACAGCAGCATTATGATAGATGGTGCTTTTCTGACTCTGCACCAAGAACTGCCGCATGAAGGCAGCGGCAAAACCGCCTCGCCGGCCACAAGAGTCGCGCTGGCGACCTGTGGGGCTCCTCCGCTGGGAATCTCCTGGTGCATGAGCAACAAAAATTTGTCTGAAAGTGTGGCGTCCTCTCGTTCTCTGTGCTTTCACTGGGAGCTACAATCCCGATCTTCTAGTGATCAGCCATCTTGGATCTCTCTCCGGTTTAGACTTACTCTTAAGTGAACATACTCAATCTTATTTGAAACAAGACTTAAAAGGTAAAATTTTGAGCCACGTTTTTAAAAAAAAATCTAAATAGTATTCAGGAAGTATATTCAGACCGCTCCAAGAGTAATGAAACAGCTTTAATTTTAATTTTACTTGCCTAAGACCATCGTAAAGAGGTTTTTACTTTACCAGTCTAGGGAAGGCAACAGGATCCTTAGTGATAGTCCATTTTAATAACAATAAAATGTTTTATGATCTCAGAAAATGAAAAATCCTTATATAATAGTAATGTATTATTATAAAGTCAGATTGAATGTGTTTGTTGTATGAAGTCTCTAAAATACAGAAAGTACGATAGATACAAGACTATTCTTTTCAGAACATCCTGTATAATTCACAAAGGAAATACCAGTTCAAAATGAACAGAATAACACTTCATTGGGAATGTACTTTGAATAGACATAATAGTCACCTACTAAATTTTCTAAACTTGACGTGTTATGTTCAAAATAATAAAACTTGTCAGACTGAAGTGTAACAGTATTTCTTAATGCTATAGCCTGTAAACATGTCAAGAGATAACCTTTTACCAGCACCTGCGTTGTACATTTTATGTTCACAGTGGAATCTGTTCTGTAAGACAATGCAGTGCAACATTGAAAACTTGGTATTTATCCCAGGCAAAATAAATATGGTCAATAAAGTTGTTCCTGTATCCATATCCCCATTTTCCAAAGTACAAAAAAATACCTTTTTATTAGAAATGAACTCTTTTACATCATTTAATCTCATACATTTTCACAAACTTTAGAAGTTACTTTATTTTTAAAGAAAACTTTTATGATCCACAGAGAGGAAATGAAAAAAATACAATGGGATTCTGGCCGGGCACAGTGGCTCATGCCTGAAATCCTAGCACTTTGGGAGGCCAAGGTGGGTGGATCACTTGAGGTCAGGGGTTCAAGACCAGCTTGGCCAACATGGCAAAACACCTTGTCTACTAAAAATATAAAAATTAGCCAGGCGTGGTGGCATGAGCCTGTAATCCCAGCTACTTGAAAGGCTGAGGCAGGAGTATCGCCTGAACCCAGAAGGCAGAGGCTGCAGTGAGCCAAGATGGCACCACTGCACTCCAGCCTGGGTAACAGCAAGACTCCATCTCAAAAAAAAAAAAATAATAAAGGGATTCTTCTTTGATCAAAACAAAAGCTTGCAGTTACTAGTATTAAAAGCAAACACTCAACAAAGTAAAAAGCCCAAACATGTATTTGTACTAACACCTGAATACACCTACACATTTAAAGGAGCATTTTATTTAGAATTATATTTTCCTATGGAAACTTGAGTAGTGCCAAGGGTATTTACATCTTTGACATCACCTTTACTGTTCACAGACTACTTAATTTTATAATATGTTTAATTGAAAGGTAAACTTACTTAACTGTAGAATGATCAGGTTGTTTTAATAGAGAGGAACTTTGGTTTGTTATTCTAATATTTAACAAAATACTCATCTCTTCACAGAATCTACCTGTTACTCGTATTTTGGACAATCTTATGGAGATGAAGTCAAACCCTGTGAGTACCATGTAACATTATATTTTGTGTAAATTCCTGAATGTGTTAAACTGACTAGTATGAAAGAGAATAAAATCAGATTGAGTTTCTTGTGAGCTTAATCACAGCAGAATACGTGAGGGAAAGGAAGAGGCCATGTTTTCAAGAAGCCTTTTTTAGCCATTATCACAGATTCTTGGAATTGATTTTCTCAGCTGCTATACCCATTCTAGCCAGCTCTCATTCAAATGTAATGTAGATTATGTCCTATATGTATAATTAAATGTAAAATATATCCTAAAGAACAAATTTCTGTAAATGAAAAAAGAACCAGTGAATATCAGTTGATATACTATGAAGAGTACCAAACCAATTTAATTTTATAAAAGTTAAATTAGGCAAGAAGTACACAGTAAAAATTTTAAGTGCATCTGTTTAGAGGGCACTAAATTTTGGGGGGCTGAAGAAGTAGATTGACAATGAAATCGTTGGATGAATAGACAAATGGGTCAGTATTGTTAGCGTTGACTTAAGGAATGGGTTTCTAAGCTATCTGTTTGTAATTCAAGAAAGGAATGTAAAAATCATCACAGTCTGTTTCATAAAACATCCCATCCTTTTACTGTCACAACCATAAGGTGGTTATTACCACAAGAATCTGGAATCAAAAACAGCATGACGGTACCCACATCACAACCCTGGTTTGAGTTGGTCTAAATCCCTATAGACTTGGCAGTGAGGCTTAGGATTCCAATCCTGAGAAAGAGTGCAAACATAATCTTCAGATGAGTGTGACCTTTTTTTTGTAATTGTCAAACATGACTGTAACAACATAAGAAGAAACTAACAAAAACAAGTTTTAAAATTCAGTGGTGTGAAAACAAAGATACAGTGTAATAAAACATCTCAAAAGGGCAATTAATATTATGAAAAGAATAGGAGAATTGTTTATAATGATAAGCTAAAAAGGATTAGATTCTTCCACCTGGGAATCAATACAGATAAAGTGGTATACAATGAAATAATGATAGACTTTATCACTACATCCTAGAATACATGAAAAAAGACTAAGAGAGGAATACATTTATGACTAATTATCTTAGAGAATACTGCTTCATAATAGGCAGTAAACTTCCAGGAGATATTATGCCAAGCAACTATAAAGATTAAAAATATAAGTAAATGCAAAAATTTAGACAGATACCAAATATACAGGGGGTTAAGAAATTTTGATATTGTCCAGGTGCAGTGGCTCACACCTGTAATCCCAGCACTTTGGGTGGCCAATGCTGGTGGATCACTTGAGCTCAGGAGTTTGAGACCAGCCTGGGCCACATAGTGAAACCCCATCTCTACAAAAAGTAGAAAATATTACCTGGGTATGGTGATGTGCACCTGTAGTCCCAGCTACTCAGAAGCTGAAGTGGGAGGATCACTTGAGCTCAGGAAGTTGAGGCTGCAGTGAGCCAAGGTTGTGCCACCGCAGTCCAACCTAGGTGGCAGAATGAGACCCCGTCTCAAAAAAAGAAAACAGAATTTATGACATTTTGTTACCGTCCCTAATCTTGAATTTGAGATGAAAAATAATGACAATAATAATGATGATAGCTAACATTTATTGAGTACTTATCATGTGCCAGAAATCATTCAAAGCATTTTTCAGTGGCTCACGTGTGTAATCCTGGCACTTTGGGAGGCTGAAGCAGGCAGATCAGTTGAGGTCAGGAGTTCAAAATCAACCTGGCCAACATGGTGAAATCACCTCTCTACAAAAAATTAGGGGGGGCATGGTGGCACACACCTGTAATCCCAACTCTCTAGAGGCTGAGGCAGGAGAGTTGCTTGAACCTGGGAGGCAGAGTTTGCAGTGAGCCAAGATCATGCCCACAGCACTCCAGCAGGGGTGACAGAATGAGACTCTCACTAAAAAAAAAAAAAAAAAAAAAGCATTTTTCACCTATTATCTCATTAGGACTTTCTGAGAAAAGTACTAGTATTATTATCATTTTCTTTTTATAGATGAGGACATTGTAGTGCAATGAAGTCAGGTTAACTTGCCCAAGGACACATAGCTAATAATGGCAGACCTGGGATTTTAACCAAAGGCCAAGTTTTTTTTTTTTTTTACCATTATGCTGTATTGATTAGGGCAAAAATCATTCCATTCATGGAATCACAGAACTATAGAGTTACAGAAACTAAGTTATCTTAACAATGTAGGAGAGGCAACCAAGAAATGTTGTGACTTCCAAGTCACACTACTTTTAGTAACAGAATTGGAACCAGAAACCTACTACTGCTGTATTCCTGCCTGGTACTCATTCCAACATACATCCACATTTATCTGCCATAAACACACGGATGGCTACATTGTGGATCTTACTGGAATGTTTCTCTAAACCAAGAAAGTATATAGATGTTCACTTGACTTTCACTTTATAACTCAAGGCATATTATTGCAGACAGATTCTTTTTACTTAATTAGGAAAAGTAACTTTTTCTGTTTTGAAAGCGTTTTTTATCTGCTAGATGAGGTGGCTGTCTGCATTCTCATACTTCTCGTGTTCCCAGATGGACAAATTGATTTGGAGGCAATGAAGAGATTAGCAAAATGCTAAAGGGATTAGCAAAGTATACTAAGTTAGACCTGACAAATAATCTTGATTGTATCCATTTAAAATGCTGCAATCTAATTCTAGATGCATTTTTATCAGTTCATTTATTAAATGTTCTTTTATTTCTTAATTGAATAAATTAAAATTAAGGCTAGATATCAGATAGGTTATCTTGCCTTGTAAGTCTGACTGGTAGTGGTTTCTCGGAGCAAAGTATTGAAAGATCCTTGCACTATGTTTGGGTTTACTGAGAGTGCTATGACTGATTAACAGTGTCCACCATTGGGTATAGGACTAAATAGTGGCAACATGTGTAATGTATTTGTCATGAGCCAGGTTTTGGTAGGACTGTCAACGCTCCAGAAAAAGAATTAGTTTCTCTGGCATGGTAGTTAAGAACTTGGGCATTGAAACTAGACTGCCTTGGTTTAAACCCTATAGTTCCCATACTTACTAGTCATGTGACTAGTTATGTAACTTTTATAAAGTTAAATAACTTTTCCGTACACCAAACTGCCAATCTAAAAAAATGAGGGAAACAGTTACAACCTGATAGACCGTTATTGGGATTGAGTAACTTCATCTAAAGTGCTTAGAATAAAGGTTATCACATACATAGTAGGTGCTCATTAAGTATTAGGGGTGGTGGTTGTACATTCCACAAAATTGATAGATTCATTAAAATAGGATACTCTAAGCCAAACTGTGACCTTCTAAAGAGAAATTCCACAGTCATGGTTAAGTTCTATTTTTTTTTTTTAATAGGAAACTGATGACTATAGATATTTTGATCCCAAAATGCTGCGGGGCAATGACAGGTAAGCAGCTTTTGTCTTCTTTAACTTATTGTGGATTTTTCCCCTCAATAATGGAAATAATTGATTTATTATAAAATAGTATTGCTTATTATTAAAAATCCATACTATTTGGAAAACCTGTAAGAAAACAGTATGTACAATCTCATTATCCAGAGATATCTCTAGTAATGATACTAAGCATTTACATATTTTTCTTCCAAATATATACACACCCAAATCCATTTAGATGTCTACTGGTTTTTTTTATGAAATGGTGGAGATATTAGAAACTAATTGTGGGTGAGGGAAATTTGGATAACATCTGTTTTTAAATGAGTATTATTGAACCAATTGAAAATATAGGAGCTTTAGATTGGATACCAGTTGTTTGATTGTTTTTCATTTAACTGCTCCATAAAATTAAAGCCTCTGGGAACCATTGCTATATAACACCTTGTGGCAATGAAACATTCTATAAATTCTGCATTTTATCATAGACATTGGATAGTAAGATATTCTCATGGATATTAATTTTCATGATTAACGGTGGTATGAAAAATAGCCTACAAGATACAGAAAAAGAATAGGCAGGATTGGGGAGGAAATAATAACTGCCTGGAATGATTTGCCTGTAGCACTGAAACTTAGTTGAAGCTAGTTTCTTGCCTGTGCCTTATGTTTGGGATCTTCAGGACTTTATATTTGCTCTATCTCAAGCTTTCATATCTTTGTAGATAGTATGAAAATAATCTAGTCACTAGATTAAATTGCTTGATAACTTGAAATGTTATCCTTTCCTGAATTTACCAGAAATGCCACCAAAATTGCCTAAGAACTGCTAATAGCAGCTACTGTTGGCAAGAGAGAATCTGACAAAGAACAGACTATGTGGAAAGGGGGATGAGGATTGACTACTAATGGGTACAGGGCTTCTCCTAGTGGTGACAAAAATGTTCTGAAATTAGACAGTGATGGTTGTAAAACTCTGTAAATAATATTAAAAACCACTGATTGTATATTTTACAACAGTGGATTAGCAACTTTCCTATATTGATGATTCTCCAGCTTACATTTTTTCCTTCCTTGCATTTAGCTACCAAGTAGATACACAGCCCTCGGTATGCATGGGTTCCTCATCCATGGATTCAGCCAACCAGGGTTCAAAATATTTCGGGGGAAAAACAGACGTGAACATGTACAGGCTTTTATTTTTTCTTGTGTTTATTCTCTAAGCAATACCTAATACAATGTAAACTATATAGTTTGTCATATTGTTTACATAGCATTTACACTGTATTAGGTATTACAAGTAATCTAGAGATTAAAATATATGGGAAGGTGTGTGTAGGTTACATGCAAACACTACACCATTTTACATAAGGTACTTGAGCCTCTGTGGACTTTGGTTCTACCGGGGGTTCTGGAACCCAAGGTAGAACTTCATGGAACTTCATGGATACCAAGGGAGACTATATTTGGCTTCTTGGTAATTTACTGAGAAATGTTTAATCCTAAATGCAGTTTATGCATGGTAATCAGAAGGAATATTAGCATTGATAAGACAGATAAGCTTAGAGTTTCATTTTTAACAGAGCCTTCTCCTGAGCTATCCCATCACAGTTAAATCTTGGTGATTAATAACTAGTAATACTGTTCTATTTCAGTCTTACCCCTCCTCATCCATGTCTTCTCTTAAAGGAACTTAAACACTGAAGAGGCATTTCAGTCAGGTGGACTTGTAGCTTATTCTATGGAATATTCAGACAGGCCATAAAAATAAGGAAAAGATGACAGAACTGTGTAATCAGCCTCTGAACAATTAAGTAAAGTTGTAATCGCCCTCTTTTCTCAGTTGAGATTTTGAAAAATTACTTTTGGGGAAAATCTAAGTTTTCCTTGTAAGTCATAGTGTACAGCCTGTTTTAGCACGCAAAACAAATGTAAGTCTAGACTCGCAAAAGCTTTGAAAAATGTCTTTATTATATATATTTTTAAAATACTTTGATGTCTAAGGGATCTTTATTAAGAAATAAGCTACAGCAAAATTCAGATCCTTCCTTCCATTCCTTCTTTGCTTCCTGTTATTCTTCCTATACATAATTTATAGTTTTTCCACAAATGTAGATACCCACAAACTAAATATAATATTGAGTGTGGTAAAAATTTACCGTATAAAATATATGCTTTATCCATACACCTTATACCCAGATTTCCACTCCTCCTCATGGGAGCTGCTGCTCAGTCATCTAGAATTTTATTTTAAAGTAATAGGTTGCCCCATTTCCTTTTAGACTCTGAGATATCTCCCTCTTCTAGCTTCTTTCTATCAATCTCAGTTCACCACTCAGCTCTGCAAAATTAAAGGACCCACTCCTCTAAGAAGGTAAAGGAGGTAGAACTGTGAATACCTATCTAATAGTGCATGTGTGTGTATTTCCCATACCTGTTTTATCCATAATAAAAGCCATGGGTGAAATTTTCAGTACGGTTTTTCTTTATTTCAGCTCAGTTCCCAGAAACAAAAATCCATTCCAAGAGGTAAGTTTCTTATAAAAATTCTCTGTCCTACAAAGGAAAGATGAAAGGTTACCAAGCAGTCTTGATGACTATCTTTGTCCAAAACATGGCTTTGTGATGATTAGTGTATGGTAATTTTGATAAATCCAGTTGTGTACACCCAAGATTCTTTTTAAAAAATTTAGTCTAGCCGGGCGCGGTGGCTCAAGCCTGTAATCCCAGCACTTTGGGAGGCCGAGGCGGGTGGATCACGAGGTCAAGAGATCGAGACCATCCTGGTCAACACGGTGAAACCCCGTCTCTACTAAAAATACAAAAAATTAGCTGGGCATGGTGGCGCGTGCCTGTAATCCCAGCTACTCAGGAGGCTGAGGCAGGAGAATTGCCTGAATCCAGGAGGCGGAGGTTGCGGTGAGCCGAGATCGTGCCATTGCACTCCAGCCTGGGTAACAAGAGCGAAACTCTGTCTCCAAAAAAAAAAAAAAAAAAAAATTTAGTCTAGCAATTATATTTTTCTAATTTATAGAGCTGCTTATATTTATAATATTTTAAGCTTAAAAATAACTGACAATTCACAGGAAATGAAGTCTTTAGGATTGCAGTGAGAGTTTTACATGTGTGGAAACTTTCTGAAATTGGATTCCAAACATTTGTGACGATACCATGACTGTGTTTTCATTTGAAATACAAAGAAGTGTCTCAGTAAAAAAGAGAGTAAATAACATATTTTGGAAATTATATAAATGCTAGGTTTTCTAATTTTTCCTGCCTACAATAAATAACCCTAAATTCAAAAATGTCTTTTGGAGAAAGCCCTTTCGATTTGGTATTGCCTAATTGAAGAATACAGTTATTTTTCTCTAAATTGTTTCTGAAAAATCTCTTCTTCATACAACTCAAAAGACATTAGAAATTTATAGACTTTTTCAAAAGAAATTTCTTAATTAAAATAGCATCAGGTGCTTAGAATATGACTTTTGGCTAGCATTTTTTAACCTTAATTTTAGGATAGGTCTCAGACTAAAAACTATGTTGCTTTTTTTTTTTCTGTTTACATTTTAGGCCATTGTTTTTGTGGTGGGAGGAGGCAACTACATTGAATATCAAAATCTTGTTGACTACATAAAGGTACATTTTATTTAGCCTTTTTAGTCTGTTGTTAGATGGTTTTATAGGTAGAACACTAGCATCCTCTGATGGCTATCCTGATCCTTCTATAACTTATTTTCTAAAAGGTAGTTTTTAAATCATGCATATATGATTTTTAAATGTTCATTGTTTTCCTATTTCCAACACATTCATTTCTGGCCTTAAATTGTACTTAATCTAGAAAACAATGTATCTTATTGATATAATGCACTTTGCAGCCACCTGTCTTAATATAAATTCAAATGCTTAGAGACCTCAAGCAAGCTCTTCCAAAAAAAAAAAAAACTCTCTAAGTGAAATGATTCACAAAACTCATTGATCTGAATAATATGCACTTTACTCCTATCCTGTTAACTTAAATCAGCAACATATGTCTAACAAACTTGAAGTGTCTGGTTTTTTTTTTTTTTCAGCAAACAGGAACTATAGAGTTAGCAAATGAAGGGGAGTGCAGGGAGTGGCAGACAGCTAAGCAAAAAGGAAGGAAGGGGTGTAATTTGAAGAGGAAAAACACTATTAAAAATTTAGGGGCAACAGAATTTGCTGTTTTTAGAATGTCATTTTGTAATCTTTATTCACTTAATATTAAATAATGATCATTCTTTATGTCCTTATTTCATGTATTGCTTTAATAATGGTAGAGGGTTATGGTACAGTGAAGACAAAAAACCACAGGCAGATGTCACAGAGCTCCAAAACAAGTAACTATTCTTAGAATTCTTAGTTTTATAGGAGATACTTCATCTTTGCATTATGAACCACCAAGATGTGTGTGAGATACCTTAGTTTCAGAAGAGCCCTAGTCTTGTACAAAGAAGGTGTTTTATTTTTTTAAGTTCAGGGGTACATGTGCAGTTTTGTTACATAGGTAAAGTTGTGTCATGGGGTTCGTTGTACAGATTATTTCATCACTCAGGTATTAAGCCTAGTACCCATTAGTTATTTTTCCTGATCCTTTCCCTCCTCCCACCCTCCACCTTCCAAAAGTCCTCAGTGCGTGTTGTTTCCCTCTAATGTGTCCATGTGTTGTCATCATTTAGCTCCCACTTATAGAACATGCAGTATTTGGTTTTCTGTTCCTGCATGAGTCTGCTAATGATAATGGCCTGCAGCTCCATCCATGTACCTGCAAAGGACATGATCTTATTCTTTTTTATGCCTGCATGGTATTCCATGGTGTACATGTACCACATTTTCTTTATCTAGTCTACCATGGATGGACACCTAAGTTGATTCCATGTCTTTGCTATCGTGCTGAATAGTGCTGCGATGAACATACATGTGTATGCATCTTTATAATAGAATGATTTATATTCTTTTGGGTATATACCCAGTAATGGAATTGCAGGGTTGAATGGCATTTCCGTCTTTAAGTCTTTGAGGAATCGCCGTACTATCTTCCTCAGTGGCTGAACTAATTTACAGTTCCACTGATGTTCCAAAAGGAGATGTGTATAAGTGTTCCTTTTTCTCCAAAACCTCACCAGCATCTTAAAAAATAATCATTCTGACAGGTGTGAGATGGTATCTCATTGTGGTTTTATTTGCATTTCTCTGATGATTGGTGATGTTGACCTTTTTTTCATATGATTGTCGGCCACATGTATGTCTTCTTTTGAAAAATATCTGTTCATATCCTTTGCCCACTTTTTTATGGATTTGTTTTGTTTTGTTTTTGAGATAGAGTCTTGCTCTGTCGCCCAGGCTGGCATGCAGTGACACCATCCCAGCTCACAGCAACCTCTGCCTCCCAGGTTCAAGCAATTCTCCTGCCTCAGCCTCCCAAGTAGCTGGAATTACAGGCACACACCACTACACCCAGATAATTGTTGTATTTTTAGTAGAGATGGGGTTTCACCATGTTGGCCGGGCTGGTCTCGAGCTCTTAACCTCAAGTGATCCACCCATCTCGGTCTCCTAAAGTGCTGGGATTACAGGTGTGAGCCACCACACCTGGCCTGGGGTAGTTTTTTCTTGTAAATTTAAGGTCCTTATAGATGCTGGATATTAGACCTTTGCTGGATGCATAGTTTGCACAAAGTTTCTACCATCCTGTAGTTTTTCTGTTGATAGTTTCTTTGGCTGTGTAGAAGCTCTTTAGTTTAATTAGATCCCATTTGTCAATTTTTGCTTTTATAGCAGTTGCTTTTGGTGTCTTCATCATAAAATCTTTACCCATTCCTATGTCCAAATGATATTGCCTAGGTTGTCTTCCAGGGTTTTTATAGTTTGGGGTTTAAGTCTTTAATTAATCTTGAGTTGATTTTTGTATATGGTGTAAGGAAAGGGTCCAGTTTAAGTTTTCTGCATATGGCTAGCCAGTTTTCTTAGCACTATTTATTGAATAGGGAGTCCTTTCTCCATTGCTTGTTTTTTTCAGGTTTGTCGAAGATCAGATAGTTGTGGGTATGCAGTCTTATTTCTTGGTTCTGTTTTGTTTGATTGGTCCATAGGTCTGTTTTGGTACCAGTACCATGCTGTTTCAGCTACTGTAGAGCCCTATAGTATAGTTTGAAGTCAGGTAACATGATGCCTTTACCTTTGTTCTTTTTCTTAGGATTGCCCTGGCTATTTTGGCTCTTTTTTGTTTCCATATGAATTTTAAAACAGTCTTCTCTAGTTCTATGAAGAATGTCTATGGTAGTTTAATAGGAAATAGCATTGAATCTATAAATGGCTTTGGGCAGTATGGCCATTTAATGATATTTCTTCTTCCTATCCATGAGCATGGATGTTTTTCCATTTGTTTGTGTCATCTCGGATTTCTTTGAGCAGTGGTTTATAGTTCTCCTTGTAGAGATCTTTCACTTCCCCAGTTAGCTTTATTCTTTTTGTGGCAATTGTGAATGGGAGCTTGTTCCTGATTTGGCTCTCGGCTTATAGGAATGCTAGGGATTTGTGCACATTGATTTTGTATCCTGAGACCTTGCTGAAGTTGTTTATCAGCTTAAGAAGGTTTTGGGCTGAGACTGTGGGCTTTTCTAAGTAAAAGTTCACGTCATCTGAATACAGGGACAGTTCAATTTCCTGTCTTCCTATTTGGATATCCTTTATTTCTTTCTCTTGCCTGATTGCCCTGGCCAAAACTGTGAATACTATGTTGAATAGGAGTGGTCAGAGAGGGCATGCTTGTCTTGTGCCAGATTAATATTTCTCTAGTTTCATAGCCAAAATTAGGTTGCATGCCCAGGCTCAAAAGCAGAAACCAAGGGACCATGACAGGAACCAGATGCAAACCATCTCTATAAACAGTGCTGACAAGCTAGTACAAGTTGCCCCCTAGTCTTGACCCTAGCACAAGACAATATTCATCACTAGTTAGAACATTTCATTCAGGTTTGGCCAACGGTTAGCAACATGACTGGTTCCAGGTGTTCCTAGGGATAAACACATAGTTGCAATAGACACTTTTGCATTCCACAGACTCTTACCCTTGGTTAAGCTTTTTTAATCACTTGATATCATTCTTTTTTTTCAACTTTTACATTATATAACAGAAAAATGAGAAAATAAACACCAAAATCCTAATCATTTGTGTAGTGACTGAAATAGATTATAACTTTTAAAAAAGTTGAAGTTTACCAGATAGTCCAGTGAAAACTTGTTCTTAATAATGTCCCAGCTTGACAGTTTTACCTCTTTCTACCACAGAACATTGAATTTTATGAAATTGTATAACAATTATTAACTAAATCTAGTTCATTTCTCTGATAATCTGGTCTTTTACCAGAAGACCTTGTAGGGGTTTTAATTCAGTTTCCTAATACATTTGCTCATTCATTTGGTCATAGAATTTTTCATATGAATCTCACCAATGATACCAGTATTGTACCAAATAGCATTACATTATGATTTGGTTTGCTTACTAATTTTTTTTTTCATCTTTCTTGACAAAATCAGCTCTTGTTCTTATACTAAAATGTTGTAATTGACTGAGGCACCATAAGTTTCCCATAAATTCACTCTTTTTGCTTACTCTGCCAAGTTACCAGGCCATTTTCCTTGCACTACTTTGGCTTTTAATTGAGGAGCATACTTAATTCTTCTTGAGTCTGTGTGCATGTGTCTTCCCATCTTTATGTAACTGTTGAGTTTTATCATTTTTCCAGGCTTCTTGCCACCATTTCCCTTCCTCCTGAAATAACATTTCTTGTAAACAACCAATACAGGTCATTAAGTCGTCTCTCTCAGTATGTCTCTTTTCATTAAAGGCAAATTGGGCTTACCATGGGACTCAGAACTGTGCCAGTGTTTCTGCCCAGATTGGTTTAACCACCAAATATGTTGTTGCCATTGAGTTTTTATTGCTTGAATATAGTTTGAATATGTCTTTTCGATCCAAAATCCTTCAGGAACCTTTTGAAAGATGGTGGGGGAGGAAAGACAAGAGTTTTCAGTTCCCCAAGGCAGTGTCATATGAGTAGTAATTATTCCCAAAAATATTTAACTCTGTAATTATTGTCGGCAAAAAATCAGGGCTATCAGCGGCAAGTGTGTAAGACCACCAGGTTATCCTTTACTTGGTTTCAGTACCAAAAATTTTTTTAACTTCAGTTAATGCCTTCTACCCACAGAAACAAGATACATAGGCATTAGGGCATGACTAGTTGGAAATGCAGCAGTTATTTTATGTCCGTGTTTCTGGACACCTTTCTTAACAAATTATAACTCTGTTTAATAGTCACGTGGTAGTCTGTGACTTCGTTGTTGAACAAAATCATTTGTGTGCATTTGAGAGAAAACAGTGTCCTAACTTTCCCTCCCAAAAGTGGTCCTCTACAGTAGATAAAACCACTGGGAGCCAAAAGACAAGTATTACAGTTATTCTGTGTTTATCCTCAAGATGTTATTAGCTTCATCAAGATTCAGATAAAATTCTGCAGATTAAATTCTTAAATCTCCTGCAACCCAGTCTTAGACAGAATATTCTCTTGCTCTCAGCCTCTTACAAGATACCAAGATAATGTTAACTTTCCCTT